TATATCATATAGCAGCGCTACGGCCATCACTGAGACCAACAAGCGCATATACACCACAGCAGCCGAGATCCGTGAGATGCTTGGCTATAGGATCAGCAAAGGCCATAAGGAGCAATATCCTCCATGGAGAAGGAGGTTGGAGACCAAGATCAAGGCAGCACGGAGAGAAGTTAGCCGTGGCAGACATTCAAGAGAGGGTCTCAAGTATGAAGAGCTGGACAGCACCAGGCCCTGACATGATCCACGCCTGCTGGTTAAAGAAGCTAACTTCACTTCATGAGCGCCTGGCGGGACAAATGAACCAGCTACTAATAGATGGAACGCACCCTGAGTGTTAACTGAAGGCCAGACAGTCCTGAGCCTGAAGGACCCTCAGAAGGGAGCAGTACCATCCAACTACTGCCCAATAACCTGCCTCTGCACAACATGGAAGCTCCTGTCAGCTAAGATGAGCAGGCACATGGCTCAATACATGAGCAGGAATTGAGGGTAGAGTAGTTATAGATGCAGACTATGGAATGGAGCAACCATCAGCCATCTTCTCTACATGGATGACATCAAGCTGTATGCCAGGAGTGAACGAGACATCGACTCACTGATCCACACCACTAGGATTTCCAGCCAGGACATTAGAATGTCATTCGGACTGGATAAGTGTGGCCGAATGGTAACGATGAGAGGAAAGAGAGTCAGAACTGAGGGGATTGTACTACCAGAGGGCAACATAGTAGATGTTGAGAACAGCTACAAGAACCTTGGGATCCCGCAGGCAAATGGGAACCATGAAGAGGCCGCAAGGAAAGCAGCAACCACCAAGTAGCAACCTGTAGAGAATAAGGCAAGTCCTGAGAAGTCAGCTGAATAGAAAGAACAAAGTCCGGGCAATTAACACCTATGCCCTGCTGGTCATCAGGTACCCCGCTGGCATAATAAGTTGGCCAAAGGAGGAGATAGAGGCCACTGACATCAAGACAAGGAAGCTCCTTACAATGCACGGTGGGGTTCACCCCAAGTCCAGCATCCTGAGACTGTATACTAAGCGGAAGGAAGGAGGCTGAGGATTAATGAGCGTCAGAGCCACTATCCATGATGAAACAACAAAGATCCATGAATACATCAGGAAGATGGCCCCGAGTGATGACGTGCTTAGTGAATACCTCAGGCAGCAGAAACCAGAGGAACTGGGGAAGGAAGAGCAGGAACCCTCATGGAAGGACAAACCTCTGCACGGTATGTACCACCGTCAAATAGTAGAAGTGGCTGATATAAAAAAATCCTATAAGTGGCTGGACAAAGCTGGACTGAAAGACAGCACAGAGG